CTAAATATATAAGATAATTATATATATTTTTTGGTTTAAGTCAGGTTAGATAAAATATTTTTACCCTAAACCCGAACCCGAATTTATTTTAAAAAATTTAAACCGATCGGATCGGGTCGAAACCTGAGTTCGGGTCCGTGCCCAACCCTAGATATTATGGTGAAAGTTATTAGTTTACCAATTCAGCATACAATTTGTCCTTTTGTATTGAAATAAAAAGGGAAATTTTGCAGCATAAGGATGATAAGTTTTCCAAAAGGTCTGACTCAAAAGGGGTAGAATTTCCACCTTTTTTGTCATTTCCTCCTTTTTTTTTTGTCATTTCAATATCCAAAGGACAAGAAGACAAATCGCTTTTCACAAAACAAAAGGATGCCTCATATTTATTAAACACAATATCCAAAAGGACAAGAAGACAAATCGCTTTTCACAAAACAAAAGGATGCCTCATATTTATTAAACAATATATCGACTATTTTAAGAGGAATTTTATTAATAGAAAATTGATTAAAATTATTAATAATTAATATTGTATTCTTGAGATATTTATGTACAATTCCAATCTTATAATTTTATTTCTCAAATTTTAAGAGTATAAAGAGCGTCTTGCGAATAATTATACGATATAAAACACTGTATGAAAATTGTAAAATTTCATTGGAAGAAATTATATTATCTAAGGGTGTAAACGAGCCAAGTCGAACTCTAGTATTATTGAGCTCGACTCGACTTGAAAACGAGCAAAGACGGAGAAAAGAGGCCCAGTTGGCAAGTGGGTCAAAAGGAAACGTGTGAAAAAGTGGGTCAGTTCAGCTGGTGCATGCGTGAAGAGAAGTCGGAAGAAGATGGTTCTGCCGATTGGATTAGCTGTTATGCCTTTTTCCCCACCACCAATCATTTCTTTCAAATCTTCTCTCCAAATCATTGCGTCTGATAACAGGAAAATGAATTACGAATAACATTTTCCTCATTCTTTTATTGTTTGATTAACGGTATTGATTTTTATCAATATGATTTATTTTTCTACTTCTTTTATATTTTATAGTTTAAGTCTTTAATTAATGTCACAACCAACGAATAACACATGCTATTTTTCATGTTTAGCCAAAATATATACAAGTACTTCATTCATTCTAGAAGAATCCACATAATATCGATCGAAACTTTAACAAAAATAAACATTAAGAGGTAATTCTAACTTAGTATGTTATTAGGGGTCTTGTGAATTTTATCTCACTGTTTATCTTTTAATATATCTTACAAATTTTTCAACATTTGAATGTTTATGGACATTTATTGTATTACATACATGAAAAGCAGTAAATAAATGTGATGGTTATAACATATAAATTAAGGTGATTCCTTTCGAGCCCATAAGAAAATTGAAAGGTAAACGTTGTTTCTCAATAATATTTTTCCATTTTAATTGGCACTATCGTTCTTTTTCTCTGTTCGTGGTATACTTGTATCCATTATAATCTAATAAATTTATTTTTATATACGAAGGGTAAGATGAGATTGAGAAACATAGAAAGACATGATACATATGTGTATTAATAAATCATAACATTTGTAATTAAACAAAATGAGTTGTAAGGCTACAACTATGCATTTCAAACATTGAACATTACAAACATAACATACTAACATGTTTTATCTTGTTATTAAGGATTATAATGCATATTGTTCCTAAGAATTTTGTTGCCTACAATCAAGTGACGGACTCATTGTGGGGTTAATGGGAAAATGTCCGTTGTGACTTGTGAGTGTCAATCCTATCAAGTTGATTGGCGATAAACTTTGGGGAAATTGTACATTAGTCTTTGTAGAAAATTTCATAATTTGATAACTTTTATTAACGTTATCATGTTGTAAGGATTTTTAATCCTAAAGATTTCTACTAGAACAATTATTAGTCTTTTTTTTTTCTCGAATGAAAGCAGCAAGCTAACCAATAGCCTTGGATTTCATTTTCTTTAGTATCAATACCATTTGTTAACGCTTCAATCAAACCCTATTAAGCAATCAAATTAATTATTAACTTTGAATTATCGAGTAAAACAATTTATTAATAAGATTTAACATATTAAAATGCTCGATTTATATAGTGTAAATACCATATATTCATGAATAAATCGAATAAACCTCAATTAAATAATATGTATATCATACAATCGTATCATCCAATCAAATTAAATCCAAATTTGTATCATACATTTTAGGTTGGATGTAATCAGGGACGAACACTGAACTTTATATTAGGAGGGACATACTTATAAAATTTTAAGTAAGGGAGAACTTATAACTTTTAGAGGTGGTGAAAACATATTTTCAATAGAAAATACAAAGAAAATATCTAAAATATATAGAAATTTAAAACTTTTAGGGGGCGACCGCCCCCCTCTAGGTTCATCCGTGAACGTAACATATAATATCATATTCTTCATATTGAGGAAGTAATAAAAAGAGAGTATACAGAGAAGGAAGTTTTATTCAATACAATGTGAAGCTTTTACACAACAACTCTACATTTTATACAACGAATATTAGCAGTAACAGAATAACCATTTTGCACTAAGTTTGTCAATCCTAATAACCAACTATGTTGAACTGTCATAGATGAGTTGATATAACATTTTCGATTGGCAACAAAAAAAAATGTTATATTTTTTATAACAAATTTAGTTATAGGTCATAAACTCTTATATAACTTGCAATTGAAAATGTTATAAATTTATATGATTTTTTAGATTGAATATGATAATTTCTTGAGTTAAAAATTATTTTAAATTAATTTTAAATTTTAGGTTGTACAATAAAACTACATAGAAAAAGATAATTCTTGTTGTTGTTATGTCGAGAGAGCATGTGAACTTGATGGAAGGATTTCTCAATGTTAACCCCAGAATCGCCGACCATGGCAACCGGTATCTTCTTCATCTTACAAGTGGTGGTGGACCCATTGCAATAGACTGCAACAAGTCGTTTGATGTGGTGCCACATGGCAGAATGAGAGGAGATTCCCGTCTCAAGGGAGAACGTGCGGTGTCGGCCCCCTGAAACAGAAGCCTAACCCCAAAAGGCCAAAAGCCTACGGAGTCTACTACAGACGTCTGAAAAAAAGGTAAACTACACGGGAGACCGTTAAACTATGATAAAAATCAATGTGAACACCAAACTTTCAATTGAATCAATCAGACCACTCAACTATTTAATTAATTCAATCAAACCACCGACCGTTAATATTTTACAGAGGTGGTAACGTGTCTGTTAAGCTTAATTGGCATAATTATATATTTAATCCTTAATATCTATCAATTTAGTCACTATTGTAATTCAATTAAATAAATTTAACTATACAATTAGAACGTGACACGTGTCAATATATGATTAGAAGATTTTATTTATAAGTTTTAAATTATTTAATTAAATAATTTTTCTATCTAATCAAACGGTAACATGTATCACCACCCAATAAAAGTGAAAATTAAAAAGACAAAGTTGAGCTTCAAGGAAATCAAACCAAAGTCGTGGGGTGGGGTGGGGTGGGGTGGGGTGGGGTAGACGCCCAAACCATTGGGTTAAAGGTCTCAAATAATTTAAAGTTACAACAATTTGTATTTGTCTTTTAAAGGTTTGTTAAGGATAAAAAATCAAACAAATTATTTGTTTAAATAAATTATTATATAAATTAAGTAAATTATTTAGTACTAATAATTTTTAAATAAAATTTGGCTCGATTAACGGTTAAAGAAAAAATTCGGTTAATTTGGTTCGGTTAATCGAACCAAAATTTATTTGAAAATTATTAACCGAACCGAAATAATTTGAAAATTATTAACCGAACCGATTTAATCATATTTTTTAAAATTTATTAACCGAATTAATCGAAGAAAAATTTGGTTAATTCGGTTCAATTAATCGAACCAAATTTTATTTGAAAATTATTAATCAAACCAAATTAATTTAAAAATTATTAACCGAACCGAATTAACCGATTTTTTTTGAAAATTATTAATCGAATTAATTGAAGTAAATTTTTGATTAATTCTATTCGGCTAATCGAACCAAAATTTATTTGAAAATTATTAACCGAACAGAATTAACCGATTTCTTTATTATTAATCTAATTAATCGAAGAAAAAATTTGTTTAATTTGGTTCGGTTAATCGAACCAAAATTTATTTGAAAATCAAATTAGTTTGAAATTTATTAACTGAATCAAATTAAAAGAATTTTTTTCTTTAACTATTAATCGAACCAAAATTTATTTAAAAATTATTAACCGATCCGAATAATTTTTTTTAATTCGATCAATTTTCGAATTAACGATTTTTTTTAAAATTTTTCTAATTTATATAAATATTGAATATTTTTAATTAAAAATAATTTACAATTAATTTTAATAATATTTTGTTTAAACAAATAATTTATTTAATTTTATATCATTAGCAAACTTTTACAAATCAAATACAAGTTGTTGTAACTAACAGTTGGTGCACCTGATTTATCCCTCTCCCGCGTGACCCTATTCGAATCCCTTGGAGTGCAACTTTGTTCCATAAATTTTCACTTCCATTGGGTGGTGACACGTGTCACCACCTGAATGGATAGAAAATTATTTAATTAAATAATTTAAAATTCATAAGTAAAATCTTCCAATCATATATTGACACGTGTTACATTCTAATTGGATAATTAAATTTATTTAATTGAATTAAAATAGTGAATAAGTTGATATAATATGTAAATATTAAGGACAAATATATAATTATGCCAATTAAATATAAAATTATTCAATTAAATAATTGAATGGTCTAATTAATTCAATTAAAAGTTTGGTAGTCACATTGATTTTCGACCATAGCTTAGTGGTCTCTCGTGTAGTTTTCCCAAAGAGCATGGTGGTTTGCTCGAGACACGTGTGCGACACGTTAGGGTTTCTGGTTGGGATCCGTGGATGTTTCTTGTTGGTTAGATGCCTAGCAAAATTTTACTTTTAATAATTTTACATGTTTATTAGATTGGAAAAGTAATAAATATATAATGTGGAGATCTACCCAATTTCAAAAAGTACATCAGTACTATTAATTTTTAACATACTATTTTTCTTTTGTCAGTTTTATACAACTCTTCATCTCAATAACTTTAAAATATTAAGAGGACGCGCACTAACAGCAAATTTAAATTTTCAGGGGAGTAATTACCTTTACTTGTTTTCCCTCGATCCATCCCATAGTAAATATCATTTAAGAATTATATCTTATTTTAATATTTATATAAATATTTAAATAAACAATTAGAATTTATCATCTTAAATTTAAATTCATTCCCGAAAACTGTTATGCATCAGTCTTTTATCTCTATATCTACAGATCATTTATTGTATTATTTTTTACAGATGTGTTGTTACTTAAAATATTTTTTTACGACGTGTTGAATTGATGTCACTTAACTCAACTATGTAAACTCAATTAAATAAAATATATAAAATACGAATTTATAAGAGTATAATAATTATTTTATTTTATTTATATCACTTAATTCAGTCATATAACTTTTTGTAGGAAATATATAAAACCTAAAGTATAAAGTAAAAAGGTGTGGATTATAAGAGTATAATAGTAATTTTATTTTTTGTACTAATAAATATCATTGAAGGTAACTTGAAAATTTTAACTTAATTTTTTTATAAAATAAAAAAAAAACCAATGAAAGTAATGTGAATTATTACAATGTATCATATACAAAGAGAAGTGTCTTAATTCATTGTCTCTATTCTATTTTATATTAACCACAGGATTCGCTGTTTTGTTTCCAACAAGATTATTGTTTTGTAAGAGAATAACTCCTTGTTAATTTGCAGTTCACAATAATATTTTTTAAATAAATTTACAAGAATAATTCTATGTAGGATCATAAGTAATATATGTCAGAATAATTAATAATAATAATAATAATAAAATTACAAATTAAAACATATTCAAACAATGGTTATTGAGACTTAACTCACATGGCTTTGATTTTTCTATCGATCCTCCAAACAATAATTAATTTGTTGGTATCAAGACTTTAGTTTATGTGAGACAAATTCATTGAATCCGTTTATATATCCTTCACCTGGCTTTTCTATCATTGTATAATATATATTATATATTTTTTTATAACTAATCTGAATTAATACCATATATATCTACTATAATGATCATCCCTTAAACTCAATACTTTTATTTATAATTTCATGAAACAAACTTAGTTTGCTATTATATATTGTTTATCATATGCTTTACATGTAAGTATAAAATTTACGTAAAAATACACCTATAAAACTTATTTTAGTAAATAATTATTGTTGGAACGATAATGAAATTTTATTTGAATTCATTAATTTCATGTTTAATTAAAAAATGGGTTTTAAGGTTTTTTTGTTAATTTAGTGTAAGTACAAGTCAGTATCTGTTCAAAGATAACTCTTAATCATTTGATATTGAACGCTCATACTCCTAGTATTCATAGTGCTCGAATCTGATACCTCGACAAATAACAATAATTCATTTATCAACGAGATCGCTTGATTCTAAAAATATGGAAAAATGTCTATAATAATATTAATTATCTTTTAAAATAAATATATTTTGATAAATTTTTTAACTAAATTAAAAAATATCTAAAATGTTAACAAATGTTGAATGTAATGATAAAATATATTATACTTTTAAGGGGGAAAACCTATATCATTAAATAAAATAATAATAAATCTTAAGTATAAATCGTAAAACATAAAAAGTTAACTAAAATGACTATAATCTGAGTCAATATGGAATATTAAAATTGGTTGTTTCTAATGGAAGTAAAGCTAAATATCTAGAAGGACTCACAAAATGGAATTTATTCTTTTTCATTTATAGTAGCAATGCGAAACTACGACGAAGGTGAAATGACAGCTTAATAATAATTGGAAAAAAACAAGTTAAAAGTGAAAATTTAGGCAATGAACACAGTATTCGCCCTTTTGAACATATTAAGAAATTATTTATTTCACCTTTTTGGCTTAGTTTTTCTGCTCTTTTTCCTCTTCAAACTTAAAAAATAAAAATAATGTTTGATTGATACTTAGTTGATATCAAAGAAGAAAAAATATATGATATCACATATTTTTTTTTACTTTTTTGGCAAGTATTTTATATTTTTAATCGCTCGTTTGGTTGAGTTTTTTGTTTATCATTATTTAAGGTTGGATTTGACGTCGTCTTGATTAATTAAAATGTCACTTATTTGTTGTCCTACTGATCTTTCATGTTTTGGACCATCAGATTAAATTTGGATATAAAATTTTTATCTCTTTTTGTGGTTCATTTATCGATACAATTAAATATATTCGTATATATTTTTTATTTGAATTTTTTGATTAGGTATTTTAATATTTTTCTTGTATGGTTAGTTCCTAATGCCAATGATTATAGAAAAATGAGTAGACGGTTATGGTTTTAACCATTCACTGCAATTTTAATATTTTCTTTTTTTAATAAAAATATTTGTTTCTATAAAATAAAACTTAGTAAACAAATAATATTTACATCCACTTTCTTAATTTATAACTTACTTCATAAATTAATAATTTTCTCTCTTTAAAAATATAATTATTTTTATTTAAAATTAAATATTAAAGCATTTTGAATCCCCAAAAGAATCCCAGTTTTATAATATCAATAAAGCATATGTGTATATGACCGAAAGTTGGGTAAAGAGAAATATAAAAAAGAGCGTGTGCATGTGAAAATTCCTAAACCCGACGAATCTTATATTCGTATAAAAGATTCAAACCATATTCTGGGTATTAGTTGGAGAATCTATTCCCATTTTTTTTAATTATTTCTCGTGCTTCGTTGAATTAAGAAAAAAGTTAAGTTATTTTCCACCTAAATACATCATTCATGCCTGCCATGTAATTCTTTATATCTTTATTTGACTTTAGCAACTCAAATCCATTCAAATGCTATATATTATTACACGTAAACTTGGCATGCAAGTAATATTGGTTGACTATTGCTAACAAACCTCACGAAACTGTCAGACTAAATTACAAAATGAACCCCGACATGTCCGACCACTGTTTTCTGTTCACTGTCCCTTCACCCTATTGAATTTCACTTTTATTCAAAGAATAGATAAAGAAAATAATTCTGACAAATGGCAGAAAAATACTCCTAATGTATTTAAAGTTATAACTTAAGGAAGTATAAAGAAATAACGATAAACAATTTAATTAACCAATCAAATATGTTAACACCTCCCTTTTATCATTTTTATTATTATCATTATTCATGTTGATGAATAAAGTGATGAATTTTGACATTTACGTGGTTGTTGTGAGTTTCAGATTTACGGTTCACCCTAAGTTAAGTGGGTGGTCTCTGACCTTTTTTCATTTTTCATATTATTTATTTATAACTTTTTTTTTATGTTAAGATTTTGTGACGAGGTTGTCATCAAAATTTAATCTTAATAGAAGTCAAATCCTTTTAACATTTTTAAATTTTATACCTAATATTTTGAAAGAGATTGTCAACAATTTTATGAGATCTAATTTTTTCCCTTCATGCAATTAGATCCTCCAACTAAGTAAGTATATTGACTAAGTTATTTGACCATCGATTTTGATATTCAATCTGTATTGTATTGACACGACTATTAACTCTACAAACATGGCAATTTAATAGGTGTATGATGATGTAACGGAGAGGCTTGATTGATTTTTTTGAATAGTTTGAAGACTTGATTGTTTTTTTAATAGAAAATCCTAAGGTTTATTTAAGTCATTAAAATATTAAACTATTAAAAATACTTTAAAATATTAGAAATTTAAGAAAATAAAAAAAGTGAAATAAATTAAAGTATTTAAATAATTAAAAATGGCACTTTTTTTAAAAAAATTAAATAATTGAAAATTTATTGAAAATAAAAAATATTTGCAAAAAATAATTAAAAATACTTGAATACATTTTCAATAAAATGAATCTTATCTTCGAATTTAGAAAAGAGGAACGTAATTTATACTCATAACTCAAACCGATATCTTTTTACTATGTCATTTATTCATAAAGTTCAAATTTTATTGTTTAAATCAAGACTTGTGAACACTGATTTATTATCAACAAATAAACTTGTCGTTGTTGATATATTAGGGAGCCAGCTGATGTTTAAAATTGATGCGTCTCAATTAAGACGTTCAAACATACCAATGAGTTCATAAAAAAATTAAAACTATAAACAAAATGAAATAATGTCATACTTCTTTATTTCTATTGTGTTTTTTGAAATCGTTTATTATTTGCATACCATATTCAATTTCATTTCAATTATCTCAAAATAAAAATTCTTATATTCCGCTTATTTTTTTCAACAATAAAGGTTAATTAATAATTTTTAATCATCTGCTTTAAAAATTATTAACTTCTTAGAATATTAAAACAACAAATTGTCATTAATTAACTGTTTTGAACCAACATTTTTTATGAAAAGTTTAAAGTAACATAATGAAGTAATTGATGACATAAATACTATATCTTAATAATCAAATAAAAAGTTATTGTTGTGAAAGTGGTTCTTAGATAAGTGACATCAATATCACGAGTTTTTTTTAATTGTGGAGTATTTTAAGTGTCGTGTAGTATATTTTGGATTACATTTTGGTTTTTCTATTAAATAATTAAATAAATCGATTGTTATACATTTTATAAAAGGTAAAATAATTTCTTTGTTAAAAATTATATATATCTATTGTACTGCTCGTTGTTGACATGCTACTTTTAAAAAGGATAAAATATTTATTACTTTTTATATGTATAATATTTATCAATTTAGTTCGTAATCATTACAAATACATTAGAGATGATATTTTTTAAGGGATAATCATGAATCAAACATAAACCTTAAAAAAAATTAAAATATAAACCCTAATTTAAATTAGATGCAATATTAGTTCAAGTATAAAAATTCGCTAAAGAAAAAGTGGAAGAAAAACTATTTATATATTTAAGCGAAACAAGGTAGTGTTTAAATGAATATTTATTTATTTAAATGAGATTTGATTTCAAACTTTCTCACTTCTTCCATTGAAAGATGTGGAAGGTTTATTGACGTATTTTGGAGCAAAGAAAATGAGTTTATAGTTTGAATTTTATAAAATTAAGAGAGGATTATAAATTTAGAACAATAACATCCGAACAGTGCATTATTAAGCATGTTAAATGGCAGCTCACACAGTAATTTTTCATAATTAAATTGAGAGCATAATTGAGTACCAAATAAACAAAGCTTAACATTTTAATCACAAAACAAAGCGCAAATAATAATTAGGTGAACAATAAATAAGGTTTTTGGGTGAGACTAAAGATGCCAAAGTAATAGGCTCTTGGCCTAGACACTAGGGTTGTTTAAAATATTAATTTTTCAATATGTTTATAGAAAATTAATTGAATAAATGTCATGTTCCTTCTTATTTTCTTTAGGAAAAAAAGAGAGAAATTATCAACGGAGGAGGGCAAAGAAATATCTTTATATTTCAGTGTTCGCTGCTGGTTTTTGCAGAACAGGGTTTGGTTTTGTTGTTAGTTTTGCGATTGTATACAAGGGGCATTTAAAGAACAAAGGTCCCTTTGCCTATATACATATTTACTTTATTTACTTCTATTTTTATATTATATCTTTACGAAAGTGTCTCAACTATTTCATAATAAACATTCAAATAGTTTTACAAACATCATGTTCAAAATAAAAAAATTTAAAAATAATAATCTTCCTTTTAATCATTGAAATTGTTTAATTTATAAGAAATGTTCAAACAATGACAGATTAAGGAATATTTTTCAAGGTGTGTACATGTATATTAATAACATAAAATTTTTGTATGTGATAGATACAAATAAAATTTCAGGGTGGGCACCCTCAGTAAAATGTGCTATTAATATTTAAAAAATCCAGATTTTAGGGTAAGCACAAAGGTTACATCCGCCACTGCATTCAAATATCTTTACAAATATCATGTTTGAAATCGAAACTTCTAAAAATAATACAATCTCTTTAATCATTGAAAATGTTTGGTTCGTGTCATATATATATATATATATATAAAAGGATTCTAAATATTGCTTTACTTGATATCATGTCATATAACTGATGATTGTAAGAATTAATTCTCACATTAACTGTGATTTCTTTTAACAATATTGTATCAAATTGTAACCCTGTCCGTTACTTACCTTAAACTTTTATCCACCAACCCACTCTTAGCATTCACTATTTGTTGTTAATCACCTAAACTATTCACCAACTATAATTTGCCTTGTCGTTAACTAATATTTTAATTGCTAAAATAAATACTCCTACTAAATAAATTTATTTAATATCTTTTAAAAATATTATATTTGTTAATTTTACTTTTTAGAAGTACGTGTTACATTTTTTAATAATAAGTAATAAATCATGCCATTTATATTAGGGGTAAGTATTCGATCGAATTGAGTTAAGAAAATTTAAGCTAGTTGAGTTGGCGAGTCATATTTTATAACTTACATTTTATTTGAATTTTTTAAGTTGAGTGAGTTATTCAAATTTTTGTTTAAATTTAATTTTAAATATTATGATACTAATTGATTCTAATTTAAACAATTTTCTACAAACATATACGATAAACATATATATTTCTTCATACTTTTCATATGCAATATGCATATATCATGCAAAGTTGAATGACTTGACTCGAACTTAAAAATCAATTCACTAATTACTAAAAGTTTTGAATAATTTAAATTATTTGAGTCCTATTTTATTAATTCGATCTTTATTTGATATTTTTTATTCGGGTCAATCAAATTTTTAATGTTGAATCGAATCGAAAAATTCAAATTTTTTGCCATAGGTAAGATTTAAAAAATCAACATTTAAGCTCAAAGTGACGATTCAGTTAAAAAAACCCTGATTAATACAATACTAATAATTGAAAAACTAAATTAAAGTAATTTGAAATTGAAAGACTAATGTAGAAGATGAGTCTGCATGACTAATTATTTTGAAGACAAGTTGGTGCAGCGATCCACCCAAATAGGACCCAATTTAAGGAAATACAGCTCCCATAATCCCGTGGGTATAACAAGTGACTTGGCACTACACGCAGCAGGAACCCACATGAGACTAGCGGTTCTGACGAATGTCATCCACGTGGCATCACTGCCAGCAAATCAGCTTGAAACCACCAGTTCTCTCTCAGGAATTTTTGGTTTTGGCTGGGGAATGGGACCCACCACACCATTTTTATTTTTATTTTTCTACTTTTTTGCGAGGGAGTTTGGTTTCGTCAGTTTGTGTCTGGTTTTTGCTATAAAAGCTTCTTCAACTCCTTCTGTCTCTCTCACATTCGTTCTCTACACTGTCATCCATTGCTTCCTTCTCTCTGTTTTCGACCAATCCTTGGGATTTTCTTCTTCCTTTTTCTCCTCTCGATTCGGTTTCACTTCCTTAATCTTTGGGTTTCGATTTCAAACAAAACAAAAAAACAGAGTACCCTGTAAACTCCCCTTTCCACCTTTCGACTGCGTTAATCTTACATTACCATCCAAACACTTGTTGAGTTTGAGTTGTTCTTCTAACTACCTTAATTTCCAAAAATGGGTAAGTCCTATTTTTCTTTTTCTTTGATTCAATTACAGCAAAACAAAAAACTTTGGGCTTTGGATCTTACTGAAAATGTTTGAATGTGGGTTGTTGTTGTTTGTTGCAGTGAGTTTCCTTGAAGAAAGACCAAAGAACATCGCCGCTTGTCAAAATGTGCTCTCTGATGCGAAATCAGTACAAAAACCGCCTCCACCACCCGGTTTTCTCTCCATTTCACGCAAGAAATTGCTTCACAACCTTGAAATCAGTGCTGGAACAATGGTTAACGCATGGGTCGATTCCATGAGAGCTTCTTCCCCAACTCATATTAAGTCTACACCTTCCGTTGCCGATGATGAAGGTTCCTGGAATGTGAGTTCTAAGCTGTTTAAGCCTTGAACAAAAATGGGTTTTATCATTTTTTTAAGACAATAAAGATTCTGACTTTCCATGGTTGATGAAATTGTTTAGCTGCACCATCCATCAGCGCTGGAGATGTTCGAGCAGATTATAGATGCTTCGAGAGGGAAACAAATAGTAATGTTTTTAGATTACGACGGCACTCTTTCGCCGATTGTTGCAGATCCAGATCGAGCTTTCATGTCCAAGAAGGTTAGCTATTTGTTCATATGACACCACGGGTAGTCTTTACATAAAATTTCTGGGTATTTTTCATCTATAATTTTGACATTAAATTTCCCATGCTTTGTGTACACCAGATGAGAAAGACAGTGAGAAAGCTAGCCAAATGTTTCCCTACAGCTATAGTGAGTGGTAGATGCAGGGACAAGGTACATTTTCAGGCCCTAAAATTTGATCCTTTTAGTCTATTTAGTGTTTTCACAATCGGTAAAACTTTTGTTGTTTTTAAAACTGTAAGGTGTATAACTTTGTCAAGTTAGCTGACCTATATTACGCTGGAAGCCATGGAATGGACATTAAAGGCCCTGAGAAACTTTCCAAATCCAAGAGAGTGAGTAAACTGATGCTTTACCGTTACTGTTTTTTCACTAAATGGTCAAAATCATCTGCATTTCCTCACTCTCATCCTTGGATTTTTACTTTTCAGGACACTGAATTACTTTTCCAACCAGCTAGTGAATTTGTTCCATTGATCGATGAGGTAATTTCTTCATCACAAACACAATATAATCAAAGAAAATAGCTTCAGAAAACTTACATTTTTTCATGGAATTTTCCAGGTTTACGAACAACTGGTGGAGACTACAAAATCAACTCCAGGAGCTAAAGTGGAGAACAACAAATTTTGTCTCTCAGTACACTTCCGATGCGTGGATGAAAAGGTGAAAACCTCAATAGCAACTTGGACATCATCAAAGCTTATTATCACAATTTCAACCATCTGATTTGTTGGGTATAAAATTACAGAAATGGAGTGAACTGGCACAACAGGTTAAGTCTGTGTTAAAAGACTACCCCAAGCTTCGGCTAACACAAGGCAGAAAGGTTCTGGAAATCCGTCCCACAATTAAATGGGACAAAGGGAAAGCCCTCGAGTTTTTGTTAGAATCTCTTGGTAAGTTTCAAATTATTCTTTATAACGTGTGCACTTCGTGTCTGCGCGTTCATATTACACCAACACGTCATTATTTCAGTTAAAGTTGGTAATAGTAGGGAAAAAAAAACATGACGTGATGTTCTGTGATGAACCACAAGTGCTAAAAATAATACCAATGTGTTAATTTGCTGTAGGATTCGCTAACTGTACCGATGTTTTCCCGGTTTACATCGGAGATGACCGCACCGACGAAGATGCATTCAAGGTAAAAAAATCAAACTCAATGGTAATTTTTTTTACCCTTATTATTAAACCAGTGGATCTTTAAGGCTAAATACTTTTGGTTTTCATTCTTATTTAGATACTGAGAGACAGAGGACAAGGTTTTGGTATTCTTGTCTCCAAGTTTCCCAAGGACACCAATGCATCATATTCTTTACAAGAGCCAGATGAGGTTAGTTTCAAACTAACATTAAGTAGATGACATTAGATAATTTTCGAATATATTTGTAATTTAATATCTATACTTTTTACAGGTTATGGATTTTTTACGACGATTGGTTGAATGGAAAGAATTCTCTACAAAAACTCAATCGAAAATGTAAAAGAAGAAAAAATATAGAAAAATATAAATGGCGCACCCGAGCAAGAGTTGTAAAAGGGGTGGGATTAAAGTAGTAAATTATTGTTTAAGATAAGGGAAGAAGGAAATGAGTATACATATTTTTATCTTTTGGGGTTGAAAGCTTTGTTACATCTTTGTCACTACTTGAGTACAAAGGGTAAAGTCTTGTAACTTCACAACTTTTCTATTAATGCAAAGAGTGTACTGATTTGGATGAATGTTTTAGATATATTTATCCGATTCTGGTATATATATATTGTTAATTTTTAACAATGAAAATTATATTTTATTAATAAAATAAAAGATCTAATTAAAATTATCACACACCTAAATAAAAAAATGAGGACAATAATTACTAAAAAAATTCATACAAAAACAATAATATTAAACTCAATTAGATAATCCAAATATTCAACACGGTTAATTACTTTAGTTGAAATGCTAACATGGATAAGGGTATATTGGTTGAAATCCAATTCATTGTTATTTTGTCTATTACTTTTCAATACATTCACTATTATCATATGTGTATAAAATTCACCTATATATTGTTTAAATCATACTATATATAATGACGAATGATGGTTAAGTTTGTGTTGAATATTAATCGATGAGAGCTTGATCCAGGATTGGGCAAAAGCCTTGGACCACTTTATTTAATTTCATATTTAGCCCATCTTAAAAATTAATAATTCAATTTGATCCCCATCCCTTGATTAAATAAAAAAACACATTTTTTATCTCTATCAAAAATTAATAATTTAATTTGAACCCTTTTAACTCAAAATTTTTAACTTTGGTCTCCTACATTTTTAAATTTTATCTCAACATCCCAACACAAATTTTCTAGCATAGTCCCTTGTCACATATACTTACTGAAAATACCCTTTTCAACACGTGCACACACTATATCTATCATGTAACGATCCAAATTTCTAAATCAACAATCAAATGTTAACTAATGTTTATTGAATAGATTAGTTATACTATGGAGACTCTATAGATCGAATTTAGGCTAAGTAGGTTGACCTTATGTGTTATCTTGTTAGCCCAGTTTCATTCCTCAAAGTCGGTTCCACTTCCAGAAAAATATTTGTAAACCACAAGTCTTTACTTCCACTGTCGCAAGTACATTTGAGAATTTAAAGAGACCGAATATTTGACAAATTGTGCAAAAAAAGTAATTTTTTTTATATATGAAGCATCTCTTTTTAGTAAAAAAGTATATTACAAATCTCCTTTTTGTTGAAATGTCTTTTTTTTTTGTAATAATTGTTGCGGAAGACGACTATTGGATATAGTAAAATCACAATTGATAATTTGAGAAAATAAAAATGAAGATAAAAGAGACACAAAATTTACGTGGAAAACCCCTAAATAATATAGGGTAAAAACCACGGGCAACGGTTGTAACCCCCTCAGACCGATGCGGATAGCCCGATCCGATCTGGAGTGTCACATTAGGGCCACCGGAGCGACCCACTGTAAAAATAGCAGAAAATTTAAAACTTTTCTTAAAACATGTAAAATCATAAATGATTTATTATTATTCAGAAATAAAATAGGTTTTTCAAACTCAAATATAAAACAAAATACAATTCACATGCCCCCTAATCACATGTACCATTCTCTGCAAGCAACGCCAGAAGAACTACCTTACTGATGTCGATAGCTGCACTGGTACAATTCTTTTAACCTGCAATGTTGAGTAATAGAGTGAGCTTCGGAAAGCTCAGTAATACAGAACTACCAGATGATGCTACATGACATGTAGATAAATGGAAAGCCATATAATTTCCTTATTGAATCATACATATATCAGTTTGCAGAATAATTTGGGGTTCCCATAGAAGTTCATCGAGTAGAAGCCATGAATCTCAGTTCATAAGAAACCTTTCAAAGTATGACATTTTCAGGAGATCGAATAGGATGTCTAGTGTGTTCCAACAGTATAATAAAATCATAATAGTTACACTTATCAAATGATAGTTCAGTAAATCTCATAAAATCATAATGAAATTTAACTTTTGAAAATCATAGTTTAAACTCTTTTCTTGTACACCATCAGTAATTTCCAAAACTATTTTCCATATAGCTTACTCTAAGCACACAACAAAAAGAAAGCCAACCTAATGATAAGCTTTATAGCTTGCATCCTTAAGCCCGTAAGTCCAAGTCCATATAGCTTACCCTAAGCACACAGCAAGGGAAGCCAACCTAATGTATCTTGGGGCCGCAAGAGTCACATTAGGCCCATTCTGTTTATTAGCTTGATCAGAGCTATACTATTGTAATTCAATCCAAAAGTTCAATTGCACCGTGACACAAATTCCATAAATCATCACATTAAATTGGTGCATCAATAAAACAGTAACCAAAGAACTCAGTGTACCTCATATTAAAACCAATAAAACAGTTCAGTAATAATTAGGGAGCACACTAGAGAATCCAAGTATTTTCAGAGGCCATTGTAGTTATCATTTTGGATAACATGAAACTTATGAAATTTGATCAAATTCCAGGAACAAGGTCCTATTGAGGAGAATAAATTACTAACCGACCTAGACAGACATTTAAGGTTGATACATTAGAATCCCACTATATTTTCGTGTGCATTAGGAAAACGTTCAGAAACCTTTATACATAATAATTCTAAATTCAGATTTACTGCGAGTGATTCCATTACCCAAACAATCAGGGGTATTTAGGAATATACTTTGAATTCATAGGATTTCAGCCCAATTGAACCAAATGAGATATTCAGAATCTTTTCCTTCTACGTTACTTGTTTTTTTTCAAACATGACCGAAGTGATTTGAGATGAAATATAGAATCGAAGATTCAAGTCATTTACAATCTACGACTATCGATCATATTATCAAATAACTCGAGTTACACAACTCTCAAACTGATGCATGTCAACAAGTCAATTCATTATCTTTCCAGTGTATTCACTATTTAATACCATAATGCAGATCCATAGATCATCCCCATAATCATCACTGAATAAATCTTCCAACGGTCTTTATTTCATTTCCACGTTTCAACAATATCAGGAAATACTGACGTACTTAATCCATGGCTCATAACCCATAATGACAATTCATCATGTAAGTTCAACAGTGTTTCCAAACTCATCAAATCACCTATTTAATCCAAGTACCTTTAACATTTAACCCTTGATGATATAAAATATAAGTTACAAATCCAGAGCTGATTTCTTTATCACCAATCACAAACTTGTAATTTAATTCTAACAATTATCAATCTCTTATCTTAGTCATTCGATCCGTATTCAGTTGCAGAATTTCTACCACATTCATATCAAGTGTATAAATTATTCAACTCCACAAAAGTGATCAACATTATCTTATTCATGCATTTACCGATATCAACATGTTCCATAAAGCATAAAGAGGTAGTAAAGTATTACCTCAATTTTTGTGACATACTGATCGACCATATAAATTCCATTCGAACGCCCTCGATCTTGAAATCATCTTCCAAAAATTCCTCAGATGCATATCAACAGAAATTTAATCAAAAATAGAGTTTAATTCTGAAAAACGAATCGAATCGGGTGATAAATTAGTCAAAAGCAGCTTACCGTGTTTGAATTTGACGAAACGGTCTTCGGATTCGGATTCAGGACGTCGAAAAACATAAAATATGACTTTTCGAAAATTTTGACTTTTCGGTCAATAATCAAAGTCAAAGGGTTTGACTGGAAATTTCAAGGCCTTCGGGTATGAATTTGGCAAAACGGACTGCGGAATCGAACTCATGACGTCGATAAAACCCAAACAATAACTCTTGAATTCAAGCTCACCAACTCAACTTCTAGCTTCCAATCTTTTTCTCAAGAACCCGAACATTCAAATATACGAACCCAAATCTAAAATAAATTTCCTCGCCATAAAAATAACTTATTAAAAATCCTTTCTATAATAGAGGGCTCAATTGGTAAAATTGAAAACTAATGGTGCCATCAAAATAGTTAATTACTTAAATTAGTGACTAAATTGATCTTGTAAAAACTATTATGTCATAACTATAAACACTTGGAAATTAAGAGACAAGGTAAAGATCTCACCAAACTTGGATGACACACCTTGTGATTTACCCATTTGCACTTTAATAATAGTTCCCCAAAACCACGTGATTCCATTGCTCCATGCTCCATTTCACGTTTATTTTAAATTGTTTTCTCTTTCTCTATAACTGCTCCATTTCATGTGATTCCATTGCCAAAGCTAGTGAACAAACGAAAAGAGCAGCTTCCATGTCTGAACCTTCTCCAGGAATACTCAAACTGAACACAAATGATGCTTATAAATTCTGAGTAACTGCTGCTGATGACCAGCTCGAACCATTTGCTTGGCTAGATCATGTAGAAATGATATAATTCGAGGAGGTACAAGAGTGGGAGGAGTATACACAGCAGTTTCCAAGTCAATATTTTGATGCTCAGAATGGCTATGGGATGTAGTCCTGCCACCAGCATCTCCTTAATTACCAAGTGATCCTGATGATGGACGTAGGGCATTTGGAAGGCCATTAAACAGACGATCAAGCTCAATAGGTTTGCTATAAGAATTCAATCGCTTCTTAAACTCATCCTCCGATACTCTCTCGGTAAACTCCACCGCATCCAATACCGCTTTACACTTCTGGAACGACGGAGACAGCGAAGCATGGGTACGGTGAAGATAAGGATAAGTTTGGGTTTGTATTTTTGCCTTCCCAAATGATTTCCTCCATTACGTATATACACTCTATAAAAGAGAGACTTTCAAAATATCTCAATTATATAGTTCCTGGAAATCTAAATAAAATACTAATATTAAAATAATAAAATTCCCATATGTTCATTGTCTTTATCAAAGAGTGTAGGCAACTCAATAGGAATTTGAGAGGCATTCAAAGTAAACAACGCACCAGTTAACGTTGCAATATTCTTTATCACACAAACCACATCATTTCCATTAATTTTTTTCTTTTGTCAACAAATCCAGCTGTGAATCAACAAGCAAGAAATAATATAACATTTCTTCTAAGCTGGAAAGCAATGGATTTCAACCATGTTGCCATTATCCTTACTTAAAAAATATATCTCCTATTGAGTGGCCCTTAATAATTACAATAATTGGGGTGTTACAACGGTAGAAGAATTTCACTATGAGAAAATATGAATTACAACTTCTCTCGATCTACCAAG